CAGGCTTCGTCAACTAGTGACTCGAGCCTCGCGAGCCGGGCACGCATATGCACCGTCGCGGCGCCAAGTTTTGTGCACAAGCACGAGGTTCTCCCACTGTCTCCAGAACCCACCCACTGGCTCTGTACACTCTGTTATATAGGCGAGGCCCACGTGACCTACTACGTCACGCCACCCCCTCGCTTGTTATAACAGTGAAAAGCTTCTATAAGCCGGAAACTCCCAAAGCCTGTGTCTCCCGTTTCCGCGTTCTTCCCTTTACCGAAAAACCCTTCTTCCTGTGGCAAGGCTAATCCTCTGCCAAGCGTCTCCAAATAGATGCCACGAGGCACGCTGGCTAATACGTTACACAAGACTGCTCTACAAACTGTTGTGTCAGAGTATCCCCGATTATCTTTCAAAAAAGCAGTTTTCTCGTAAATTGACGTCTCTTGGTTTAAATAAATTCTTCTTTTTGCACTCCTAAGACAATTTAGGCCGGGGTACCTCAAGGCTCGTCTCGAATCTGACCACAATTCTATTCAATTGTTAACTCCTGATATATTAAGTGGCACGGCTTTATAAGCAAAGGACACCGCGATATTCTCTGCAGACCAATTATTATCGTTAGCCATCAACAATTTATAATCGATTATCGTCATTTTTATCTGACTGGACAGTAAAATAGTGCTTGCACTTCATCTCTGCAAAGTTTGAAGCAAATATTTTCGCTCTAAAAAATATCCACCCTCCAACAATTACAGCAAATTCACTTGTCCATTGGTTCCCATCCAACAGATCCATAAAATACAAAGGAATAACGTTGGATACGTGGTAACCTAACATCATCTATCGGCCGAACGAACTTTATTCTGCGCTCATCAATCTATAGCCACTAATAAACCGTAAATAGGTACTGAAATTGACACAATCATTTATGCCTGAATATAACATGTTATAATCTTCTGGCTATTTATCTCTATATAATACGTTACATTATTGGAACATTATATGGGTGTAACAGGTTAAATTCCTCTTTCGTCAGTCTCATTTTATACCAGAATCCCAGAATCTTGGCTTTCTTCGGCTTCTGGTCCCATCTTCTATTAAAAATCAAATGCTTCTTCATTGAATATTATTGGCTTAAATGAGTTTCCTTGGCTTAAATTAGTTATTCCGTGCCCATACGGCCACTTGTTATATATTACATATAACAAATTTTATTAATTATTTACAAAACTGTACGGTCGAAGAGTATCCAATTTTGGCAAACTCAGTCTGTACATTACATATAGGATAAGGTCCCGGCGTATTAGCAATGAGGACTGAATCGTCCTGTATATATGTATATGTATAGTTGTGCCAGTCGTAACCGACCAAATTTACGAAATTTGTGGTTTTCTTTGCATTTGAGCAGGAAATGCCTAGAGAATTGAAAAAGACGTTATGCGAAGTATCTTCTGCGCAATTCTGCTCCCCCCTACAAGTGGAAAAGTCGCAATGTCTCCGCATGGATTGTTCGCGTTACGAGGGACTGTGATGCTTTGACCTCGCGCGCTTTTTGCCTTGTGCTCGTTTCCGGGGCCGGATACCCTGATAACTCAACTAAAACTCAGTAAGAGCCCAAGAAGCAGGACTCATTCAAAATGCAGCGCCGCTTCACTGACGTCCCTGCCGAGAGCCGAACGTTCGCCAGGCATGGCCGGAGGCCGCCGAACAGCCGCCATTTTCAAACGCAGTACGATCGCGAATGGCCGTGCAAAGGGATGTGAACCGTTACGGCAGGACACCGAGCTCACAATTCGATCCGCTAATATTAGCTATTCCTTTTGCCATCTTCTCGTTTTTCTAACATTATTTCTCGGTCGTTTGTTTACTAATATTGTTTAAATATACTTATATTCATTAATTACCCAAGTATGGTCTAAAATATTTTAAATGAAATATTTTATTATTTTGCTTGGACATTACCGCTTCTGTTGATGACCGGACGCCTCGTCACTGACTGTAATAATGACCTGAAGGGTACAAAGCAGGGGTATTGTTTTAAATTTTATTTCCCTATTTGCCATAACTCATTAAACCTGCTGAAAGACTGAATCGAAATATTATGGATAGAGCAAGAGCTCTCATCTTTGATGCTGGTGTTGTTGAAGTCTTTTGGGATGAAGCAGTGCAAAACACTCCTGATCTTACTTAGAGAAGCCTTTTCGCCGTTACAGAGAAAACTAGTTGAAATATGATATAACTAGAAAACAGAACTGTCAATATTCGAAAGTTTTGAAATCACAGTTTATGAATGAGTTAACGCATAAGAGAAAAAACAGCAGAATCCAGAGTTCCTTATTTATAGGTTATACTGCAAATTGATATCGACTGTGGAACCTATAAACAAAGCTTTCCGTGTAAAAAGTTGCGATATTTGATAACAGTGTAAAGAAGTAAAGACAACGTGAACAAATAACAGTTCTAAGTGAAGAAATAATTAAAAAAGTGTGAAGAAAATCTCAAAAGAAATGAAGAAAGGGTGAACAGGGATGATGACGAAAATCACAAAGATTTATAGAGAAGATAGACGAAGAAATTGTAGAATTAAGCCCAAAAAGATAAAAGACCTCTTTCGCCTACTACGAAAAAATGTAAACATACCAAAAAGATTGTCAGATTATTTGATGAATTAAAATGAAGAAAGAGCAAAGACTGTCATGAAAAGCATGTTGATTTATGAAGACAAAGCTGATGGCAAAGCGAAAGTTGTACTAGTGGTTAGACGCTGTGCACAGAACGAGAAAAGTCTAGAATATGAAGATATATGTGATTCAATCTTTTGAAATGACAGCAAATTCTTCCTCTGAAGGATATTCTTTACGCGCGATGATTAGGTAATTTTAAATTTTATTCTAGTGTCCTTATGGCTAGACTAAGGATTGTAAATATACATTATTAAAAAGAAAAAATCGTTCAATTAAGAAAAGATCAATGCATTTAAAAATCATTTCAAGTCTCTACGGTTTAATCCATGTAGATGGAGAAATGGTTATTAAACGAAATGCTGAAGAAAGTAACGATATTTGAAAAAAAATGGAGGTGTTATTGAAATGAAAATAAATCATAAACTCAGAATCCCATTCCCTTGGAATGGAACTCATAAGAACTGGAGATGGAATTTTTAATTTCCAAGAAACCTATGTTCAGCAAGCTACTCAGAAGCACAGAATGACAAACTTCAAATTTAAGAAAATCATCATGGAACCAAAAACTAAGAATCCAACAGTAGCGGTGAAAGATGTGGAAGAAAATGGTAATATCAAGTTAAATTATAGAAAAGTTTACTTAATTTTCTTATAAAACCAGGCCTTATTTATTTAATAACTACTCGTAATGATTCTCTTAATAATTTAAAATAAGTATTTGGTTCCAAAGCAATTATAGACATTCAAATATCTTAATACTTTAACATTAAATAGTCAATTTAATGCGGAATATGGGTGGCTACGTTTTGTGGTCCAATTGTGACCACATCATCAGGCAGAAACTAGAAAAACATAACATTACAACTAATAGAAATCGTAAAATGGAACATCAATAAATTAAAATAACGAGTAATGGGACACAACACTTTACAATTAATGTGTGCTTAAACAGTGACATTAAAGCTAAATATATGTGACAATTATTCAAATAACAGTGAAATGAAGAACCGTTAAAATAACACAGACATGACAATGAGCTTCAAGTCACCAGTAAAACATACCCGAATCTCAAGACAATAATTAGAACTAAGAAAGTACTAACTTGTAATTTTTTTATTCAGGCCTTATTTCGCCTCTGCAGAAAGTGTTGAATCTAGATCTGTGGAGAGGCTCCTAAAATAGGATATTAACGATGTGAAAAGAGCACCTAATAATTTCTATGATGGTAATTAAATGGGTGCCTTTTTCATTATTCTAGGCAGATATATTATTTTTTAGGCAGATGTGCATTGCAATTTGACTATGCCGGTGATGATAGAGAAAGGGAATTAGTAAGGAACGCTTGAGACACGTAACACATGTTTTGTGAGATTTTTAGTCAAAGGGTCAGGACCCTGATCTACTAGAAACCAAAGTGTGTCCAGTCTACTACTGATGCATAGTTTATTGCAGGAAATGAGTGTTGCAAGGACACTAACATTGTTGTAGTATTGCTAAAAGAGACGGCTGCTAGGTGTATTTATGTAACATTGTACGTGGTTTAAAAAAAACATCAGTAAAATGCCATCAAACTGTAATATATGTTGACAGTGAAGAAGTACACACTAAAACAAGGTTCTAGATGGTAAAAGATGAAAACCATAAATGAATATTTTATATTGTGTTCGTTCGATCTAAGGAGAACACAACTGGCATTAACAAAATCAAAAACAACAGTAAAGCTTGAAGGAAGCCGTAACCCTCTGATATGCAAACCAATGTAACGACTATTTCTAACATGTTTATAAATATTAAGGTAACATATTCCCTGAGTAAGTGTGTTAAAGGTCTCCAAAGTTATTTTTAATGCGTTGGTAATATGTATAATGTATTATTGGATTTGCTTTTATTAAACGAGTTGTTCCGAGTCAACAGCGCCAGGCAGTAGCCGTGGAATGGGAGTTATAAATATATGATTTAATTGTATATTCGAGAATCAGTTATGTTTAAATTACATTATATTTTGTCCATTGACCGACAATAACAATATAAAAACAGTGTCTGCCATTAAAAAAGTGGACAAAATCGAATGAGATTAATTTGTAAATATATCTGTGCATCTGTAGCCAAGTAGGCAGTGAAATTTTCGGAAATATTCATGCGTGACATAGATAAAATATCAATCACAATATTAGTGATATGTTCCCTTGACAAAAAGGTTTGAAAATAAGCTGGTGTAACCACTTCACTTATTCTCGGTCTCCTTTCTATAAAACATTTATCAGAGAAGTAATTCGAAAGTCTTCAGGTTTGAATTTTGAATTCACGTTTTAACAATATTTTTTATTAATAATATGTACGTGTGAAAGAATCCCTGGCGCGTAAAGAATTCTCAACAATACAGAATCCAGGATACTTACAAGCCATTTTTTGTATTTGCGTAGATTTTTATTTGTTGAGGTAACATTGATGGATGACGTACTCGCCTAGGGTAGGTTTTTTCTTCCCTTCCATCCGCCTATAACAAACAAACACTAGAATCCATTAACACACTGGTCCTGCATTTGGCTGAGAAAAGTATACGTGTGCGGAAAACTGACTCCAACAAACAACATACGAGGGGGTGATGAGTAGGTATATACAAGCATTTTAAGATACGTAAGAAGGATCGGATGTGGTCGACCGTAGAAGCCAAAACTATTCTACCTCACATAACATCTGCAATGTAGACAATTTAAAGTGCTGCGTAGTGTAGTTGATTACTAGTTTGAATAGTAATTGTAGTATAATCTAAATAGTTTTCTTAAGAGAGAGGAGAGAGGGAGAGCGACAGAAAGGGAGAGCGACAGAAAGGGAGAGCGACACCGACAAGAAAGGGGAAGCACAAAAGGGAGAGCGACGAGGGAGAGGACAGAAGGCGACAGAAGAGGAGAGGACAGAGGAGGAGAGCGACAGAGAGGGAGAGGACAGAAGGAGAGGACCAAGAGAGGACGACAAGAGGGAAGAGCGACCAGAGAGGGAGAGCGACAGAGAGGGGGGGGGGGGGAGCGAAGGGGAGAGCGACAAGAGAGGAGACGAGAGAAGAGAGCCGAAGCAGAGAGGAGAGCGGACAGAGAGAGAGCGACAGAGAGGGAGAGCGACAGAGAGGGAGAGGCACAGAGAGGGAGAGCGAACAAGAGGGAGAGCGCTACAAGAGGAGGGAGAGCGACAGGAGAGAGGAGAGCGACGAGGAAGGACAGAGGGGAGGGAACTGAGGAGAGGAATGGGGAGGACAAAGGGGAGGAGAGAGACGAGGAGAGAGAAGCGACAGAGGGAGAGCGACAGAGAGAGAGCCACAAGAGGAAGAGGAGAGCCAAGGGACGACAGAGAGGGAGAGCGACAGAGAGGAGAGCGAAAGAGAGGAGAGGAAAGAGAGGAGACGCACAGAGAGGAGAGCGCAAAGAAGAGGAGCAAGAGAGAGAAGCGCGCAAGAGAGGGAGAGCGAAGAGGGGAGAGCGCAAGAAGGGAGAGCGCAAGAGGCGGAAGCGCAAGAGAGGAGAGCGACAGACAGGAGAAGCGAAGAGAGCGAGAGCGGGACAGAGAGGAGAGGACAAAGGGAGACGACAGGAGGGAGAGCGACAGAGAGGGAGAGCGACAGAGAGGGAGAGCGACAAGAGAGGGAGAGCGATCAAGAGGGAGAGCACAGAGAGGGAGAGCGACAGAGAGGGAGAGCGACAGAGAGGAGAGCACAGAGAGGAGACGACAGAGGAGGAGCGACAGAGAGGAGGAGCGCAAAGAGGAGAGCAAGAGAGGAACGCAAGAGAGGGAGAGCGACAGAGAGGGAGAGCGACAGAGAGGGAGAGCGACAGAGAGGGAGAGCGACAGAGAGGGAGAGCGACAGAGAGGAGACGAAAAGGAGAGCGAAGAGAGGGAAGCGACAGAGAGGGAGAGCGACAGAGAGGGAGAGCGACAGAGAGGGAGACGACAGAGAGGAGAGGCAGAGAGGGGAGACGACAGAGAGGGAGAGCGACAGAGAGGAGAGCCGACCAGAGAGGGAGAGCGACAGAGAGGGAAGCGACAGAGAGGAGACGACAAAGGGAGAACGACAAGAGAGGGAGAGCGACAGAGAGAGAAGCACAGAGCAGGAGAGCGACAAGAGAGCGGGAGCAGCGACGAGGAGAGAGCGAGGAGCGGAGAGCAAGAGAGGAGAGCGACAGAGAGGGAGAGCGACAGAGAGAGAGCGACAGAGAGAGCGCGAGAGCGACAGAGAGGAGAGAGCGCAAGAGCAGGGAGAGCGCAGCAGAGGGAAGCCAAGAGAGGAGAGCGACAGAGAGGAGAGCGCCGAAGAAGAGGGAGAGCGCAAGAGAGAGAGCGCAGAGACGAGCCAGAGGGAAGCGCAAGAGAGGGAGAGCGCAGAGAGGAGACGCAGAGATGGAGAGCGACGAGAGGAGAGCACAGAGGGGAAGAGCGCAAGAAGAAAGCGCAAGAGAGGAAGCGCAGAGAGGAGGAGGCGCCAAAGGAGTCGCACCAAGAGAGGGAGAGCCCCAAGAGAGCGACGGGAGTACGCGCCAAGAGAGGGAGACGCAAGAACGAAGAGAGCGCAAGAG